GAGGATGAGTCGATTCATTGTTTTGCATCTACGATGATCTAAGTGGGTATTCCCATCAACTTCCAAGTGCTTGATTTATATCTCTCAAACGGGCAATTAACTCCGCCTGTGTCTCACAATAAAACACAGCCGGTCCCCAGCCCGGACAAAGGAGGAGGGTTGCAATTTAAAGTTTCTGATGAAAATTAAGATTTGACCTAACCAATGATGTACCTTTTTAGTTATTGAAAACCCTACATGTTTCATGTGAACAATTCACTGAACATGGTGGCTTAATTTTGCATAGTCAACTTACTAAAATCAGATAGAGGAAGTGCCTTAATATATATCTATTCATATATTTACATTAACATTTTTAGGGAAGAAAATTCTTGAGCAGACCTTTTAACTAATTTTAGTTCTTAAAGTAAACAAGAATTTTTTTTATAGACCTTATTTCATATTCCTTAGATTTATTTCTTGTTTCTCGAGTATTGGTCTTGTTTTTTCAAGATTTATTTTCTTTCTTGCATGTTAGCTTTCATTTAAAAAATAAATAAATCAGATGGTCAAAATATATTGTTTTGTTGTGCTTATTTGAAGTAGATTTGTAACCATGCGCACATTATATTAAATTTGTGCCTTGAAAGTCTTCAATTTTAGTAGTGCTACATAAACATTTTAGCAGCCACACTAAATGTCTTTGTAAACCCTTTCAACCAAGTATTTGAACAATATTATCAATAAGTTGCAGCATTATTGACATACCATCTAAAAGATTCGAATATGCTAATCTCTGAAGAATGTTTTACTTTCATTACATCGAATTAACTAATAATTTAACAACATCATGCAATAAATTATTTCTCCATTTAATTGTGGATTTAAATGATGTATTTTTGTTAAGTTTATAATTTTGTATGATACTGTTTCCATAGCAACCCTAGAACCCAATATTTGTGGTAAGAAACGGTGATCTATAAGCATACTACATAGAGATAAACAGTATATTGTCCTTTTAAATGCATTTTTATCCTTTTTTCTCTCTTTAAATTTGTGCTTCAAATTGAAAAGAATCATATAATCTATAGGAGGATCAAATATACTCTTATATTAGTTGAGTATATCTCCAGTTTTTTACACTAATTGTGTAAATATAAAACTAAAATTTATGTTAAGCTCACTAAATCATGTGGCTTTTATCTATTATTATTTATAACTCTTTCTCTTGAATTACTCATTTATTGTTTAATTAATGACTATTGCGTGGATCTTGCTTAATAGTAGTAGGTGAAGTGTTAAAAACAAAGCATTAGAGAATATTGTTTGTAGTATTTCTCATCCAATAAAACTAGATCATTGTTTCTCATGTTTCTATTTCTTTTCATAACAATAGAAATTAAAATATTATGACAAAGTTGAGATGGTTGCAGGGTTAATTACATTTTCTGATATCAGCTAAGCTACTGCCATCTTATCTTGTTGGAACTTGCAAGGAGGCAGAACTGATGAACAATTGTATTTGAAATACATAAAAATGGTATTAACAGGGGTTTTCAAAACCATACCATACTTTCACGAATTCTTCAAAATTAATGAGTCTAACAAATTTTAAGGGCCAAGTCCAGGTGAACCATTTCTACAATTCATCTATAGTGGAATAATTAACTATGATAATTTATCATCATCAATCAATTATAATTTTTTATATTAATTTTAATAATTTAAATTTTTTTTCATGATTACAAATATATCTCTTAGCTTTTAACCTTTTTAAAATACTAGTTAACATTCTTATATATTTAAGACACTTTAATGCATCAAAAATATTCTAGAATGTGATTTCCTTGATAAAATACAGAAGAATTTTTTTTTATATATATATACTAACATATTATTACCAAGTCCATTCTTATTATATGTTTCTACCATATGGAGTACGTAAAAAAAGTCTAAAGAATAATCATATTTTAATGGAACAAATGTTTTCAATAAAAAAAGAAGAAGATATTTTATCAAATTTTTTAGTATCATGACGAGGAGTCGCATAACAAGTAAATTTTAAAAAAATGACACAATTTCTTATATATTTTAAATATAAATAAAAACTTAATTATTACAATTTCTTCTATCGTAAAAAATAATAATTATAATAAATATTATTATTTTTAAATAATTTTTTACTTACATGTTTTTTCTTTCTATTTTTTTATATTTTTATTTTTATTTTCTCCCCTTCCACCATCTCACTTCAACCTTCTCAATGGTACTTTTTTTTTCTACTACTCTTTTACTTTCATTTTTTTTCCTTTCTCAATTTACTTTATAATATAAAAAATGTATTTTTTTTTTAATTTTCTACACTTTTCTTTTTTACAGTTTCACTAACATAATTTTTTTTTCTTTTTTAGAATAAAGACATCATCAAATATTAAAAACTAAAAAAATACTTTATGCTATTTTTCCTGAATAAAACCAAATAAGTAAAATTATTTTTTTCACTTTTATAATATATTAGCATTATCAATTAATTATTTGTTTTAATATTTTATTATATTCTATTTTAATGTTAAAATGTAACATACAAAGATTAGATTGAGTAAAAGAAAAATATTATAAACTTATTTTTTGAAGAAAAAGAGAGGATAAATAATAACAAAAATTCTAATTTATCAAATTTAAATTCAACTATTAATATTAAAAATATTGTTAAACAACTTATAATAAACAACTTAATAAAATAATTAATATTTTTATGATATAAAGTATTATTTAAAAATAAATAAAATATTATTGACTTAATATGTATTTATTTTATATTGATATATATATATATATATATATATATATGTTTTATAATTCTTTTAATAATTTATATAATATATTTTTCATATACAATTATTTCTAAAATACATATATTAACTATTTTTGATTTAAAATTCATGGTTATGCACTTAAGTACTTGTATACGTTGATGATAAGATATCTCTCCCAGGAATAAATTATTATATACGGGTCAAAATATTCTTCTAGTAAAGAAGTCAATTATTATCTGCTTTACACGTCACTTCAATCTTACATTTTATTTGGTCAACAAAATGGCAAAAGAATAATTATAACAATTAACATTCAATTAGTTATGATCCAAATCTAAATAAATAAATAAATAAATCTAGCATTGAATACTTGAATCGATTAACATTCAATTATTATATTTTTTTATATTTAAGTTATTGCTATACAATTACATTAAATATTAGAAAATAAATTATATTTTTGTCTCATCCGAATAAAACGTGAAAATCACCAATGGAAAAAAAATGTGAAAAAGAAAAGTATCTATCTCCGCTTTCAGTGACACTTGGAAAAAAAAGAATAAAATAAAAAAAAATGTTACACCCTCTTTTCTAGTTGTCACCACACATATACTTTGCATATATTCATAAATGCAACTGTCAAATCTATATCATTTAATTATCATAAGCTATTCAAATCAATAATTCCAATTTATTATTTTTATGAGCAATTAATGATGTTTTAATAGTCAACCAAAAATGTAAAGTAATGGACTAAGTCAACACAGGTTATTATTATTTTTTAAAAGTAAAAATTTCATGTACAACAAAAAGTCAAACATTTTAAAGTATAAATTTATTTCAACTTATTTTTTTCAAATAATTTTTTTATTGGATTTCAGAAAATATTTTATTTCAATAACCATTTCCAAGATTCAGCTCAAAATTAAAATAAAACACTATTTTCATCTCAATCTTCTAAAGCCAAAAGTTTCGTCCAACTTCAACAAGTATTTTTCATTTATAATTACCTCAACCATGTTTGAAAGCCTTAATCTAAAATCTTGCTATAATAATTTTCCAAGAGAAATTATACTATCAAAAGATATTTGTATTCCTTTATCCTTAATAATATTTTAAATTATATACACGATTTTATTTAATTAATTATAAAAAATAGTTTTATAAACACGATTTTATAGAAGAAATTTCAAAGCTTCTTGGTGGACGTAAGCATCTTTTCAGACAGGGTCTTGGGGAGTTCTCTAGGTTCCACCATAATATCTACTTATATTCTTTCTTCTACTAAAACTTTGAATCTTCCTTAATATCCTAATCTTTTTAACACTAGTGTAAGTGAAAGTTTCTCTCTAAGGATGTTAGTTTTGGCTCAAGGGTAAAGGGTGTAGAATCCATAATTTTTTTACCTTAATTATGCCTTTTTTTTAGTCTTTAAAATTCAGTATCTTTTATTTTAGTTTTTCAAATTTCGAAAAATAATAATTTTATATATATGGTGAAAAAATAAACTTTTTGTTTAGGGTATATGATTAGTCTAACTAAAAATAAGCTAAAGAGAATATTTTACTTATATAGATGGAAAAAGCTAAAAACAACTATTTGTAATTATTTTTTGTTTTCTCCATTAATTAGTGAATATTAATTGCTGATAACTCGAAGGAAATGTCTCTCACCAAACCTCACTTTGTACCGACGAATTGTTCCTTCTTTTTCTAGCTTGGACCGAATCTTAATGACATGTTGCAAAATGAAAAAGGAACAACCTTTGCATCATTTGAGTTTATTTATGTGGGGACAAATGAATACGTGATGCTATCTTCTTATATTCCATTTTATGAAGAGTCTTTGTTTTGACATGGTGGTGACCTTATGTTCTTGGTAAAAGGTAAAGTTAAAAGAAATTTTATTGGTTCACCAACACCACCTGTCTCATTTTCATTGAAGGGTTTCTTGTATGATATTCAGAAACATATTCTTTTAAAAACACTTTTTATTGTGATTTTTTCGTTATTTTATTTAATTAATGACTAATTAATCCATTTTTTACATATCAAAATGAAAACTAATTTTTTTTTTAAAAGAAGAAGCCCTTATTTATATATATTTTACTGAACAGAAGGCTATATATAGAGTGTGTGTGTGTGTGTGTGAATGAAAACTGAGTTTCTTTCTTGTTATTTGCAGCTATCATCCATAACCATCCTCATGCAGAACGTAGAAATGACAGAGTTTTCGCAATCAGGCCAAATTTCTAAAGATTTATCACTAACTTCACCCACTTCTCAGAGCAAAAACAATGAGAGTGCTGCAATGAGAAAGAGAAAGTGGGGGAAGATGAAGATGGAGAAGGAGAAGGAGAAGGAGTGGAAGATAAAGAAAGTGTTGACCAAGAGCGACGTTGGGAGGCTGAGCAGGCTCTTGTTCCGGGCAGATATGGTGGAGACGTTGATGCTGCCCGTGCAGGGTGCCCATGCCCAAATAGAGGCCAACAGTGGAACGGGCACTCCGGTCAGCGTGTGGGACGTTGACACCATGTCCATGCACAAACTCATTCTCAAGCGTTGGCCTTCTTTCAACAACTTTGTCCTCAATGGAGGATGGAGCCGTGACTTTGTCAGGAGAAGGAAGTTGAACCATGGCGATGAAATTGGACTTCTCTGGGATTCCTACACTCACTGCTTTCACTTCTCTCTCCTCAAACCAATTCACTAATCTTTCTCTCTAATATAATAACATACTTAAGATCAAAATAATATATAAAATAAACAGGGACAAACTGAGAAAATCCCTTATCAAGCACCACTAGCGTATAATAACCAAATCTCTTATCAAGCACTACTTTTTATCAAACATTTAGGGTTCATCTATAAAGGGATCAAGCCTAATTTGATGATTTTAAAAAATTTTAATATCCCTTTTCATCCTAGAATTGCAAAAAATAAAAATCAAAAAATTATTTTGGCACGATCTACCTAGTATAGGTTATGTTAAAGTACAATCAATGGAACCCTAGCTAGTACAGAATTTTTCTGGGTAGTAGAGATGAATTTTGGGTGGTTTATTGTATTTACTGAGATTTCTAATGCCTTCAAAATATTTCATAAGGTGTCTTCTGTACCATACACGTAAGAGGAAGGTGAATTAAATATTGCAGTAAATTTCTCTTTTGTGTAGTTTATTGTTTCTTGTATTTATAGAGATGAAAATAAATGTGTTGATAATTTTGGTTTGGAAGATAGGAATGTATATTATAAGGATTTTGAGATGTCAACCTTATTTGAATTTTATTGTTCACGATAAATTGTTATAAGTTTATATAAAAAAAATTGGTAAAAATGATCTCATTTTGTTTATTTAGAATTGTAAATTGCAAGAGTTTAAAAAATGAATTCCAACAAATATAATTATATATGATTTATATATATTGCATGGAGTTTTCCTTTGATTTTAAATCCATGAATGTTTATACATAATCTATATCTAAATTCTGAATCTAGTGAACCACTTTTGTATCATTCCTCGACACAAACTTCAATATCTGCTTTCGCCAACCTAGAATCAGAATCTCCATGACCAAAATTCTAAAAATATAGTTACATGTTATGATAATATTGTATTTATTTACCTGTGTTTTTACTACATTTCATCTTGAACACAGTTCAACATGATTCATATATAATTGAAAACGAGATGTTGTCTCTGCCATTGAAACAACTGGACCTTGCTAGTACAACTTGCTTGTGAATACGACCAATTACATGAAAAATAGTTACTCTTGTTCAGCATTAATTATATACATAACCAAGTAGCATTCACTGAGATGTAAGACAACTCATAACACAATCACCCTCTCAAAAAGGAACTTTTTTGACTCAGTTTGACTCAACATAAGATTGCAACAGAGCCTTTTTTGTACTTTTCTGGTTTATCTGTGGTAGAATCAGTATCCCTATGCATTGTAGCCTTGCATATCTTTATGTTCTTTATTTTCCTAGTAATTGTACAAGTAATTTAGAGAGTCAAGAGACATTAGAAAATAGGAGAGAAAGAAAAAACATGCCATGCAACAAGTTTACTACAACTATGATACGTTGTAGCACAAAAATATGAGTGTTTCTTTGTAATATCAAGAAAAATGAGAATTTTTCACACAGTTAGTCTTGTGTTATATCCATAATTAATGTTTTGTTGTGGAAAACAGTTGATTAAAACCGCCATGAGGGACATTTAGTTTGTTCTTCTCCTTTTCTGTTCATGTATTGCATTTGAATGATCTGATAGAAGAATCTTTTCATCATTCAATTATGCAAACGTCATGCAAAGCTAACAAAACAAAGTGATGAAAAATCGACCAATTTGATCCATAAATGGAATTGAATGCACCCAAACAATGTTCTCCACTGGTTAATTATTCAACATGTTGGACAAAAGGAATATCTTCTATACAAATAACAATAAAATCTTTGTTTAGGGAAAAAAAAATACCCCTATTTTTACCCTTTTAAGAAATAATATAGACCTTGAAAATTACATAATTAATCAAATTTTATTAGACATTCAAATGATGGATTTATAGAAGGAAATATAGTGGACTTATACCTATAATCATAATTTATAAATTGTATTGTAAAGTCATGAAAACTCAGCTAGTTCTTTGAACTTTGTTATAATGTCTCCTACTAATGAAACTAATATTTTATTCTCGATTTTAAAATACCCTCCTTTTTGTGATCTTTCGATAATGTGTTGATTATTTGGTCTCTAAACTCTTCACTCATTCATGTATATATATACATATATATATATATATAATGAGAATTACTTTTTGAATACTTTGTCTTTTAATATTTTTCCTTTTATTCTTGATTTTAAAGTGCCCTCCTTTTTGTGATCTTTCGATATTGTATTGATTATTTGGTCTCTAAACTCTTCACTCATTCTCATATATATATATATATATATATATATATATATATATATATATATATATATATATTAATATTATGAGAATTACTTTTTAAATACTTTGTCTTTTAATATTTCTCCTTTTTTAATAAAGGATGGGCTTGGTTTTTCATAATCATATGAATTACAAAAATTATTACATGAAGCAATTATTGTGTTTTCACTATGGAAATTCTTGTGAAAATTAAGTTCTTTAAATAATTTTTTAAGACCTTCACATTATCAAATTCCACTTTTGACAATAGCCATTTGTTTTAGAATTTAATTTAACATTCTAAAGTCTTCAAACCATCAATTGAAACACATTACAAACACAAGAGGTTGTGATCAGATAGTTTTAGAAGATTTCAGATAATCAGTTGTTATTATTAAGAGTATTTAAATTTTTTTGACCTATTAAAAGAAAAGAGTATAAAATCAAATGGAGCAAAAGATATAAAATATTACTCATGAAATGCAACTTATTCTTGGTCAATTAATTTTTTAAAACATCCATACAGTTGTAATTACAAATTAATAAGGGAGAGTAGTTTATTTGATCATTTTTATCATAAAAACTAATTACTTTTCCATAAGAGATGTAATATTATGATTTTATTTCTTACATGTGTTGTTTGAGCGGTTCCATCTCTTATTTATGGAGAAAATATAAATTCTTTAAATATATATTTATATGTGAAGATATTAATAATCAATGAAAACAGTTTTAAAAATCATTAAATTTATAATTTTAAAATAATTTAATTTATTATTCAATTAATATCCTCCAATTTTATTAAGAACAAGAGTTGCATAAGATAAACAAATTTTAAAAAATATGTCATTTTTCTTATTTTTAAAAATAATTTCATTAAAATAACTAAATGTATGTTTAATTTCGGTCCATTAAGTCAATTACATTCAAATTGAAACTACTTTGAGTAGTTTCTATTTTTACATTTAAATAAAAGTCTTCTAACGTTAAACCAAACATATACTAAATAATTAATATAAGACTAGAAAGGTACATCAACTGTTAAAATATAAAATTATCTCAAAACATTGAAAAAGAAGAAGAAAAAAATGTTCAGATATTAATAGTAGCAATTCTTATTTATTGATATTAACATGTCTTGTTATTTCATAAACTACTATACTGTGACATTCTTTATTCTCAATTTGTATCACTGTGCATGTGTGTCCCATCGGTATATATGTTTTATGATGGTTAAATCTTTGTATACATTTTTTAAATTTGACATAACATTTTTTTATATATAGTGTAATTCAAATTTAGTTTACTGTTTTTTCACCCAACCAATAAATAATAATAATAATAATAAAAAAAAACAACTTTCTGACAAGTTTCAAGTTGAATTATGTTTATTGAAAACAACTACTACATGCATATCATGGTGTTCTTTCAGGATCAGAAAAAGAGCTTAGAAAGTAGTTTGTCATAGCTGGTTTAGCAGTAACACTTCTGCATCTTGCAGAAATGGGTGGACCAATGGAACATGTGATCAAATTGAAGCATTTAGTCTTGTTTAAGACAAAGAATACTATTGTTAGAGATTCCAGAGTTCAAAGTGAACCTCAAGAGTACAAAAAACTTCCATAATCAACAATTCTGTGTGTGATAGTTGATGCATCTATTCCAACCATTGTTACAATTTGTGGAGATTCAAGAAAAAAGTGTAACATAAATTATCAAAAATATATTTTTTTTTCTATCAAATTACATCATTTCATATTTAAGCAGTTTTTAGTTCTTTGATAATCTCAAACAAAAAATCTAAAGATGTATAGAAATACTGTCAAATTAATTAGCTGTAAGTTCTTCAATTCATTTATAATAAATACAGTTTATATGATAAAAGTAAACAAGATATATATATATATATATATATATATATATATATATATATATATATATATATATATATATATATATATATATATATGTTTATATATTAAAATATTTATGTATTAGATTAAAATATATATATATATATATGCGATTTCAACCTTTTAAGAATTAAATAAGAAACATTTTTTTTCATCTTTGTATTTATCAAAATTAATGAATCCCAAATAATAAACAATATATTACCTATACCATTTATGCACATAGTCGTACGTAGATAAAACCATTCAGAAACTAACTTTGTGTCAACCATTAAAGATTAAAGCAACTTTCAAAATCTCCAAGTGAATGCTGCAATTTATTACACAATAAATGAAGTAAACACTTTGAAAACTCAACTGTGAAAAGGTTAAGAATGGAAGGTCAAAATTTATAGTCAGCATCGGATTCTTCTCACTCGCTTTTTTGTCACATTATTCTTCTGTGTTTGTTAACCAAGATTACAAAACCTAACTAGATAGCAGTATAACTTTACTTTTTTGCTTAATGTAAGTGTTACACTCGCATTAGTTTAGCGAATGTTCTCCACCTGAAACTCTGCCATATGTAATTTTACAAATGTCAGCAGCACTGAGACCAATTCGGAAATTGAAAACCAGACACACCTCCCAAAATTAGTAGACAGCAAGACTACAATTGGGTGTTTTGAGTCATTCAATAAATACAATACCACCCATTTTAGCATCTCGATGAAGTTAAAGAACAAAAACAAGTATACATAGTTCCAGCGTTTGCAATTATACATGTGTCTTCTCTACGGAAGAAGATCATAATAAAAAATACAAGGGATGAATATCACTGTTTTGGATAGGTACAAATGAAGGAGGTTTTGGTCATATGACCATGTTAGAAACCGAGGTAGAGTTATAAACTAGAGACAAACACAAACCTAAACTTGTTCCACTGTTTATGTTTTGCCAACAATAGAATAATGATGGTTTTGAATTCTCACCTGTATATTATCCAGGTAATTCATGTTAATATCCTCGTAAATGATATTTGAATTTATCAAACACTTTACAAACATGTATACATCGATCTGAACAAACATTCATAATCATCATCCAAAAGAATTAGTTATACATCATACACACCCACACAACATACAACATGAAAAGACATTCACTGTTTAAAAATGTGATTATCATACACAGTCTTGTTCTTATATATGAAAATGAAAATTTACTATTAATATACATGCAATATGATAGGTGATGATCATCAAGTGTCAAATTTACTGAAAAGATTTTGAGAAAGAGATATATATCTTGTATACAATTTATATATATATATATATATATATATATATATATTTATTTATTGTTTTACTCTAGTTATAAAGCATTATGTTATTCCCCATATTCTCATTATTATGGTTTACTGTTGATGATAACAGCCAAGGGAATGTGAAGTTTTGAAGTAACTGAATAAATATCATTTAAATTTGACCAGCATGATTGATTTGACAGTACAGAGGCCATATTTTTCCAAGAGCTTTTGAATGATCGAACACAAATTACTGTATATTGGTAAAAAAGAAACTGTACTCGCTTTCTTTTCTAATTTTCTAAATTGAATTTGGTCTCAAAAGCCAATCATTACAATCCTGCTCAATAAGGTTTTCTTCACTGTTTAGTTTTTTGTAGTTTCGTGCACACCATTTTACTTTAGAACCGTGTCAAAGGAGAATTACAATGTTCAACTCATCCAACTTTCCTGCGTAACTAAATCAATGTTCTCAATAGTAACAGTTGTGGTAAATGCAAACATAATTACTAAAAAATATATACTGATTTATGTAACTAGGAGAAATCATAAGAGATGAATGAGAAATATGATAAAAATTATAAATATATAATTATTATATTTCAAGGGTTTTGCAAATATCTTCTATAAGATATTGTATAAATAATAAAAAATATAACTCATTGTGTAATTTACTCACAACGTATAAAATGTACAATTTTTTATTTAATTTTATAGTTATAAAATATTGACCTTTAGTATACTAATTTTAGTTCTTATAATACACTTTGTAATAATTTTTAATCTTTTTATAGAGTTTAAAATAAATTAAAAATAACATGTATAAAGAATAAAATGAAGGCTTTTTAAGTTAAGGTATAAAGAAAAAAATTTGTAATTATGAAATCAAATGACTAATTAAATTTAATAACTAATAAATAATTTTTTCTTAAAAATTAAGATGTAATCTAATTTTATATATTCTGAGTCAATATTTCTAAACTAGTAAATATATAGGTTAGATAAAGAGAAATTAAAGAAAATAAATCATGCATTGATAATATAAAATAATTTTATAAAAATTATGTTTAAAATGGATGTTCATTAAATTTTTTTAAGACAAATCTAATGAATGTATAATTATATATATTATAATGAATTGGATAATTAAGGATGAAAAATTTATTTGTATCTCATAAATATTATACTAAGTGAACTAGATTAATATTGAATAAGAAGTATAGTAAAATTTAATAGCAATAAGGGCAAGTATAAATTATTTGGTATACTTTTATTGTTAATTTTATTTACATATACAATAAAGACAATATAAATTATAATTAAATATTAAATAAAGATTTTTTTATATAAAATTATTGTTGATATAATTATATATGGATATATAATTATTTAATTAAAATAAGAATGATAGTTTTAAAATTATTCAATTATTGGTTTGAGAATAAACATAAAACAAAATTAATTTAATAAATTTATATTTATTATCATTATTTATTTTCTATAACATACAACTTAATTCAAAAAATTCAATTCGAGAATAATTTGAAACAAAAACTTGTTTTATAATTACAAATCTATTAAACTTAAAAATAGTCAATATTCAAACCTATCTACACCTCATGGATCACGTGAAAATCCTAAACAATTCATATACATGTTTTCACATTAAAAAAAAAAAACCACGAACAGTCCCATTAAACTTTCATAATTAACATTCACGTACATGTCTTCACTATATATATATATATATATATATATATATATATATATATATATATATATATATATATATATAACACAACATAGTCACATCAAAATTTTCATAATTCAACATTCAATTTCTGTAATTTTCATAATTCAACATTCAATTTCTGTAATTTTCATATACAACTTCTTTTTCCTCCATTCAAGCAATTCAAAATGTTGGAATCAAATTAGCTTCCCATAACTTTATTTTGTTACTCCCTAAATAAACAAAAACTCTAACAATGGAAGGTGAATGAAGATAATTAGAGGATACTCTATATTTTTCTTAAAAACTTGAGCTAAAAAAAATAATATTATGATAAACTAAAAAAAAAATCATTATTTTTTTCATTTGATCATACATGAAAAATCCAAGGAGAGGAGGAGAAAAATATGATCAAATATTTCTTCAACTCAGTTTAACCTCCTCTCAACTATCTCCTACAAATAATGATTTTAGAAAAATAAATGATGAAATTATTTAATATTCTAATTATAAATTTTAAAAACTTAACGAAACTAAAATTTTATTTAACTCTCTTCTAATATTCATAAATACAAGTTAATTTTTTAGCATTGTTTGTTGGATTGATTGAATTGTTTAAACTAATCCAAAGTATTATTACACCAATAAAATGAACAATGTAAAAGTATTTAAGAAATTAAAGTTAAACTCATCATAAGTAAAACTTCACGCTTTTATAAGTACACATGTTCTAAATTTTAATTTTATCCATTTAAAACCTAGAACCTTGCACTTCAGTTTTATTTTAAAAGATTCTTACACTTTATCTTTTCTTTATGAATGAATAACACCTTTTGTTAAATTGAGATTAAAATATCCAACAACCTGTACACTAATCTTTTCTTCCCTATATATATATATATATATATATATATATATATATATATATATATATATATATATATATATATATATATATATATATATATATATATATATATATATCCCATGTCGGTTAGATGATAATAGAGATGATTTGGATCCCATTTTCTTTGTAGGAGGAAATAAAACATAGAGAAGAATAAGAATGATTAATTAAAAAGAAAAGAATAGTTGTTTTGATGCATGTATTTATAGAAACATACTATTTAGTTGTAAAGTGGTAAGGACATTTGGTCAAATGTAAAAGTGGGAGACCTTAATAAATGAGGGGTGTGTCATAGTGGAGAGTGCTCAGATGAGTGAGGGGAAAAATTGTTAGTATGCACAGACAGTACAGATTGGTGGGCTGTCTTCCCGCCATTAAAACCACTCTGCTCTTTCCACCACACCATTCATTTCTGTCACTGTTTTTTTCTCTCTCTCCTATGAGCTTTCCAATTTCATATTCCTTTTATTATTGTTTCTTCACCTCCCTTCATTTTTCTTTTCTTTTCCTCTCTCTCCAACCTCTCTTCTATAAATAGACAGAATAATGGAGAGAGATATCATTTATATATGGTAGTGTGTTTTGGCTAGGGTTTTCTACAACATGTAAAAAAAATCAAAAAGAAAGTGAAAAAGAAGAAATCAACATCAAGCAGTTGACATAAGCAAGTAGCTAGCTAGCAGAGGCAGAGGGCTCAACTCATAAATATCCATCATCCAAGGCTTCTCATTCATTCATTCATCAGAGAGTAGAGAGAGAGAAGGGAAGGGAAGTAGAGAAGAGAAAGAGAATAATTTGACGAAATGGTGAGAGAGAGAGACATGATGGGCACATACTCATCATCAAGAGGGTGTGGTGGTGGGGGAGACATGAATGAGAAACCTGCATGGCTAGAGAGGTTGATGGCTGAGACATTCTTTGGTGGTTGTGGGGTCCACGAGGATCGCAGGAAGAACGAGAAGAACGTCTTTTGCTTGCACTGTTGCCTTAGCATCTGCCCCCACTGCCTCTCTTCCCACCGTTCTCACCCTCTCCTCCAGGTATTATATTATTACATTGCTACTATACTATATGCCAATTCTCATCATCATTTCATTCAATTTCCCTTCTCAATTCCCACTTCTAAAGCCTCTTTTTTCACTTCTCCTTTTCCTTCTCGTTAATCCAAAAAAGCTCCCATTTTTGCTGCTTCCACAGTGCCTCCTTCCCTCTTTTCTTCTGCCTTTCAACTTGTCGCCTTCATATTTCAAAAGGGCAACTGGAGATTGTTCACGTGATGCTGTTTTTGTTTGCAAGTTCACTCTTTTTGTGGCTCCTCCAATTGTTTGATGGGTATTTGGAAACACCTGGGCTTTTACCTGTTCCTAGCTAGTTGGTCCTTTTTCTAGAATTTTCTTCTGTGCTGCTTGTTTTTACTCTTTCCTATTTTGGGAGTTTTTGCCTTTCAACTTTTCAACTTTTTCAATTCAGATGCAGCTGGATCTCTCAGGTTATATCCAAATTCTATCTTTGAAGACCGCTTTCTTGTCACCTTATTTCCCTGTGCTTTCTCTCACATGCAACTTTGGAGGATATGCTTCATACCTAGCTAGCACCAGCTTCTAGTTTAATTTGTCTTTTTTTTTTTAATTAATTCCCTCAACACTGATAAAGTTGGTTCCATCAATCAGCTGCCAATTTCAGATGAATTGCGTAGCAATTTCCCATGAATTGATGGTTACACGAAGATGTTCTTCTGATACAGTTGTTATCTGCCAAGATTTCACTCAAATCCCTTTTCTGGAATCTTGTAATAATCTGAGGAAAAAAAAATTAAAAAAGAGTGAGCTTAAATTTTCTTTTCCTCAGACTAGGGAATTAATGAGGGAGAACTCAAAAAAGATATCAAATTGAAATTATTAGTTTAACTTGGTTCATGCAATTTCACTTTTGGACTATTTCAGAAGACCGGTCAATGGGATTACAGGTTCCTTCTGCCAGATTCTTTTTCCTGTCTTTATAATTTTAAAAAATTAAAGACAACTGAGTTTTGTTGTCTAATCTTAAAGAAGTGTTTGCTTTGGGTGAGTAATTGCCTGGTTGAACTCACCAATATTGTCTCATTCTATTTGGTGTTTCCCCATATCTATGTTTATGCATATTTATATATGGTTTCCATAAGGGTTCACCATGTCTTCCTTGATTCCCCTTTATGGTTTTGGTTTCTTTCCCATTAATGGAAGCTCTCTTTTTTATCCATTTCTCCCTGCAAAGGTTTTTATCAGCTGTTCCTTTCATTGAAAGTGAAAAGTTTGACCCACTGGTTCCCAATTCATGTTGTGTCTCATTATTAAATAATTTGCACAGGAACCCACCACTTCTCCCAAATTATTCTCCCACTTCACACTTCATTTATTTTCTCTAACCCCCCCTTGAATTGATGGAAGGTTTACACCTCCAAGGTTGGTTGCCTACCCCTTCTTACATAAGATCCATTTAACTCCTAACAAAAACAATTTACCCTTTTCCTCTCAATAAATACCACAATTCATTAATTGTGCTGGTAACTGTTGACAGTTAAGTTTACCCCCAGATAAAAAAGAAGAAGAAGAGAGATATAAAGGAGGTTACTAGAAACTTGAGCTAACTATGTTGACATAAATATGGAAAGTATATTTGCTTTATTTAATTTTTACTTGTTCAAAGTTAACCTCACTTGTCTGAATCACCAATAATGTGAGGCTCTCATAACATGTCACAGGTGCGAAGGTATGTTTACCACGACGTGATTCGATTAGATGATCTGGAAAAACTCATTGATTGTTCCAATATTCAGGTCAGACAAATTTCTGCCAAGGAACAACATGAAAAAGCTTGCAGATTTATATATAATTGAGTCCTCCAATATGCATTTTAATTATTTAATTTTCATCGAGAAAGTAAATGCAATTGAATAAATAATTGACAGTACTAAACTAATATCAAAATAATTTCAGGTTGTAATAATTAGATGAAGAAATGGTTATAAAATCCTTTTGTTATGTGTAAAGAATAATCATAGATATGAGACTGAAATGGACATTCTTTGTTTGTATTGGATACATGGCAGCCCTATACTATAAACAGTGCCAAAGTAATATTCTTAAATCAGAGGCCACAATCAAGGACATGCAAAGGTCCTGCCAATGCTTGCTTCACCTGTGACAGGATTCTTCAGGAGCCATTTCATTTCTGTTCTCTATCGTGCAAGGTTTTCATCTCATTTCTCACACTCTTGCTTTCTTGTTTTGGTTTAACTTGCAGAAACAAATTAACTGTCAACAATGAAATTAAGTTATACTTTTGTTAAGTAAAATGTTTCAACATAGGTCATTCTAAAATAAAGACTAGTTTTTATTAGAGAATCTTTGTCTGTGTTTAGTGAGGGATTCAAATCTTACATTCTCTCTCTCTCTCTGTTGATGATCACTTTTTTTTTTCACCATTAGTTCAGAGTTTCATTGTAAAATGGAACAAAAAATTAATTCCAACTATTGAGTACATATGTAAATATGACAAAAATGGGAATGTCTCGCGGAAATGAAGAGTTTTTTCTTTTTCTTGGCAAATTAACATCAATAGGGGACATGGATCATTTGATGGGAGAAAATAAGAAAAAAAGAAAACTATTGATAGGTTTTGATCTATGAAATTTGCAAGGATCCTTATTTGGGTAAATTAAATTACCCTATTGGATGGCATTTATGAAACTGATAAAAGTATTTTTCTATTACTTTATTTTTTTTATTACATCATTCGTTACCTTTCTCCTTTTTCTCTCCCTTGTTCTTTTTATCTTTCTCTTTCTCTCACTCAACCACAAACATTACCCTTAGAAGTAAACTAGATAATGGAAGCTGAACAATGCAAAAAATAAAATAAAATTATACTTTAATATATCAAAAACGTTTTCTTAATGAATACTTTCATTTCAATTTTGGATATGACTTTTTAAAAATAGTGTCTCTTTATGCTAATAATACAGTGTGTTAACATTAATATAGATAACTAATATGTCTTATCCGCACATTATATGAAATATTAGTATAATTTTAAATATATAATATGATTGTACTCTTATGTTAGTATAATTTGTTTGTCCGTGTGAGATATAAAAATTAGTCGGAATAAAGTTCATTTTCAATTATGGTGCTAATAAAAAAATGATTTAGTTTAAATGAAATGTTTTATAAATTTCCATTCAAAAGTTGAATTATGCACTATAATAAAATATAATGTTACATTATTAAAAAAAAAAAGTATTCCCATGATTATTTTAAACACAAGTTATTTTCATAGATGTGAATAACAAAGAGACTTTATGGAGAGACTATAGGATGCATCATAATCCATAAAGCAATCACAATTTTAAATAACATTTACCAATGCAGAGGGTAGGATTGATTAACCAATCATCAAAAGGAAACACCTTTGACTCCACTTCATCACCACAACCCATGCTTAATAAGTTCCAAGACCTTTTACCCATCCCACACAAACATTATAAAAAAACATGTCTTTTCTAAACACCCAATCTGACCAAACACATGCAAAACCATAACACCACCCTAACCCTACTTCCTATGCTTGCCTCCAATATCGCCTGCATGTCGCAGAAAGTGCTTCTTCGTTATCATCCATCTCACCAAATGTCAAACCATCATTGCTTACATCTATCTACATGCATGTCAATACATCATACAAGAGTATATAACACAGGGTCTAGAAATTTACTTTAACTGAAAAATGAAGAACTGAAAGCACTCTTAAAGGGTTCAACTGTGAGATGAAAAAATGAATGTTTAATGTTAAAGCTATGAAAAAGTGCAGGTTGATTACATGGTGTACGCGGGTCAAAGCTTGTCCAGCATTCTACATCGATTCGATGAATCTGATTTTGCAATATCGCAGTTCGAGGGTCTAAGAGTGGATGGCTCAGAGGTTATTGATGAAGATACCCAAATTGCCCCTAGCTCTTCTTACTCCAACACGGAAGCCACCAGCAATTCCGTAATTTCCAGTGAACCTAATAACAACGTGAAGAAGGGCAAGTCCAACAGCTTCCTTCCTGGGATTGTCCTCTCTCTTGGCAGCAGAAGAAAGGGTGCCCCTCACAGGGCCCCTCTCTCCTGAATCACCACTTCAATATCATTATCATTATCTTTATAATAATAAAAGTGATAAATTTTAATTAATAATATATTACTATTAATTAGTATAAAGTTATGGCCAGAATAAATATATCCCAGTTTTAATTATCATTTGTCATATATATATATATATATGTATGGTAAAAGAACAAACCATATGTATGAATATGTGCTTTCGTTTAGTAGATTTTAAGGGCGTGGTTAGTTTTAAGAGCTTTTTTATGAATGAATAGTATGGTATGTGCATCATGCATGGTTAGGATTCTCCATTGTCATCTTGGTTGGTTCTTGAAACCACCGATTTTGTATTGGATGCTATGGAAATTTGGCTTATGCATGGTTTATTATGAGATGTGTTGTATAAATGGAACATACAATTTCCCCCGTTATGTCTTATATGCTGCGTTTGGTTTGTTTCTTGATTTTGGAGGAGTCTTCAAATAATTAACTCAGACTTTTATATTCATATAAGAACTTTTCAAAACGCTTGAATTCTCTTTCTGAAGTTATCCGTCCGCATTTTCCTAACTCCACCATATCTGATGTGTTGTGAGGTTCAGAAGAGTTTAACTTTTATGATTGTATATCACTGTTAACTAACGTGATAGAAAGTTCACAAACTTAATATTCTAACCAATGGTTGAATAATCATATAAAAACTTTTTATACTGAGTTTATAGACAGACTAATTTTTCTACTCATAAATCCTAATTAAGTTCTTCCTCGATACACTGTAGTGGCAGATTATCTGCAACTGTACTTTTGAAGAACTTTTAAAACTAGATCCTACTCTGACTTGAGATGGTGACTTCTCTAGTTAAGAAATCCTATTGTTATCTGTAATTCAAAGGTAAGATAGTAAGAAGAAAATGGTGATTTGTAAAGGAACATTGTTCACTTGTTAATATCCAAGGGAGTTGTAGTGTTTGCTTGTTTGTTGGAAATTTTGAAGGAAAGAATGAAATGATTAAAAGTAATTGAAAAGTAGTAAATTTGAATTAGTTTTGTCAACATGTAAAAAAAAAAAAAAACTGAATTTGCTTGTAAAGTAATGGGGTACTTTGTTCTCGGAGAATGAAATCACAGCAAAATTTGCTTTAAGATACACATAAAGTAGCTTTTTCTCTAACAAAATTTCTGGGGAAGAGTTTCTTGCAATAGGATCTTAGGCTCAGAAGGTTCTAGGGCACAGTCACAGTACCTTTCTTTACCTTTTTGTTATTTCACCTCGTGATTCCTAGCAAAGAACCTACTAAACGAAAGTCCCCATGAGGTTGACCTACATATAAAAGTTCTAACGAAATATAAAGGTAAAAGAACCTTCAAAACCAATTTAATTTACTATTTCATTGTTATTGATGAAACATTTGAAAATATACCAGTGTTTTCATGCTGTGGTGAATTTGTAGAAATAACCTACTATCAAATTGAATATACATTTGTAAGGAAAATAAGAGAAAGTGAAGAATTTGGAGATTAGGTCAAACATTTCCAAAGCATGACAAGTTTCATCTTGCTGGTCTTTATTTTACGATGTTAATGTTACCATAACCAGAGACACTATAGCATAGCCTTGAATCAATGGTTTAGGTAAAAAGAAAAGAAAAGAAAAGAGAGACACAATCAAATGATGGAGAATTTAGGGGAAGGTATGTGTAGAAGAATAAAGCAGCAGTAATAAGTAGCAATGGACAAAATATTTCCTTCAAGCTTGGATCGTACGTACATGTTGGGTAGTTATGCTAACGTCATAACACATTCAACCTACCTTTTCCACACATCTTAGATCACTATATATTTATCAAATTTGGCATGTTTTCTAGTAAAATCATTACACACTACATTTTTTATTTCACTTTTGTTTTTTAATGTTTTTTTTTGAATTAATATTATATATTTTATTAATGTATCAAATTATCTAACAAAATAATATATTATAACCATATTTATTAATATGATATAAATATATCATATTTATATCAATAAAACATTATATATATTAACAAAATTGATACATATAGTCATTTTTCTTAATTAGAAACTTTTTATGAAATTTTTCCTTTAATTGAAAAAGAATATAAGTGATCAGCTGAAGAAGTAATAGATCAATAAATATAATTAAATAGGGTTTAAGATCGTATTAAAAATAAAAATATATCTAAGTGTTAAAAAATATGCTTGTAAATTAAAGTTTATATTTCAACTATATATTGTAATTTGATTATATTTCTAATGAATTGAGATCTTTAATAATATATTCTTATTATTTATATTAATGTATTAAAAAAATTAAATGGTAAAAAAAATATTTAGTGTTTTTTTTTCAACGTTATATATTATTTTTTTATCTTCATGAAACTTTAATTAAGAGTAAAGTTTAATATTAGTTAAATCAACCATTTATTAGTCAAAGTCATGGTATATAAAAGTAAATGTTAACTACCACGCTATTTTGTTAAGTTCATCTTTGACTTTTTTTTTTAAAATTAATTTAATTCATCTTTCACTTTTTTAAATTAATTTAAATATTCTGATTAATCTTTTATTGAAGCTTATTGCATTGAACTTGTAGGTAGAATATGTTATCATTTATGATATTATATGGCAATAGAATGGTAGGGAGTTCATATATTATGAAAGAGTTATGTGACATTGATGGATTAGAAGTGGAGCTATATGTGTCAGGTTCTATAGTAACCTAATTCAATCTTATAAGATTAGTTTGATGAATAAGATTTATATCCTATTTATACAGGACAATTAAATTATATCTTTAATATTTCAATATACTTCTCAGGAATATAATTTTTAACAAACTTTCATTGAGCTACCATGTGTTTGGTGTGAAGGCCTTTCTATGTGTTTTGGGGCCCAAAAACTCGTATATTGAGAAAGATGCCGCTTCTATTCTTTGCATCTTTTCTCAGGAAAGAGTTCGCAGCACGGATGAAAACGCTAATTAGTTGGTCACTTCTTAACAAGCTTTTATTTTGTGTTACTCCTAGCAACGCGTTAAGGAATTATTACAAAAATAGAAGATTAAAATAAAAATTCGATATTATTTTGTCTCTATTAAATTAAGATTTTATAATTTATTTGGTATTTTTCAGTTCTGATCGGTGATTAAAATCTTTACGCTCTGATTGACAATTTTTGTATGCATATGGTTACTATACTTTCAAGTCTATGATAGAATAAAAATATACATAAAAATGGAAAGAACTTAGAGGCGATGAAACAATTGAGTGATATTTGATGGGGGAGGATTTTGAGGCTCTCGAAACTCCCATGTCACTCACCTCACTGACACCTGGTCCACTCCATTCTAAAGATTTCAGTCTCCACGAAACAAATTATTTAATACGAAACCGATCAATTAGAGGCATACAAACTATACCCATTAACCCCATTATAATAAGAAAACTGCAGATAAAATGTATGTTACCTGAATAATCAAAACCAAAATATCATGATATCAAACGTCATTTGAAGCGTAAAATTACAAATTCAATATCAAGAGCAAAATACATTAGATAAAACATCTCAACACAATTTACACATTAATCTCAATTCTCAACCTCATCAGCAAAGAAAACACTACCTCAGGTACAGTCAATCACTATGGTAAAAATTCTAATTTGACCAAATGTCAATGTTTACAAGAGCATCACCAATGCATTCTAGCAAGAAACCACATTCAAACACTATTCCCTACCACAAGGTATAACAAACCCACTCCACCCAGCAGACCGCGTGACATTATATAAGATCAGCAACATTCATTGGCATTTCATCAATCTGAGTACTGTAGTACTGTTCAATGTCTCTCAAAATCTTGATGTCATCACTCTTCACAAAATTTATTGCAACACCCTGCAGACCATGAGTGCACAAATTATAAGTAATATACAACACAAACAAGACTGATCAGCCAACAGAGCATGAAACCAAATGAAAGCAAGTATTAGGATGAAGACTCAGTAGATAATCTCTTAAAAATTGTTCCAGAGTGCAGAACAAAGTTTCCCATATGAAAATTAAATTAAATCATAAACTATTTTAGACTTCGCAATACCTTTCGTCCGAAACGTCCAGATCGACCAATCCGATGAATGTAAAGCTCTCGATTATTTGGAAGGTCATAATTGATAACTAGAGAAACCTGATAACAAAAGTAAGCGCATCATCAATATCAGCAATTAATTCCTCCATGTACAATTCAACAAGAACTCACAAAAGAATTTATCAATATATTTCGATTGATATTGGTCAACTTGGTTATCAAAAAACTCCATTCAATTGCATTTCTTTAGAATAAACAACAATGGGGTTATGACTCGAGACATATTTATCAAATACCCACCCATTGTATTAGGGATTATAATGCTGTGAATTCATCTTATTCTACAGGTAAAAAAAAAAAAGGAAATAAACACACAAGACTGGCACCATAACTTGCCTGCTGCACATCAAGACCACGGGCCCAAACATCAGTTGTTATTAGAACTCTGGTTGTTCCAGCACGAAATTCTCCCATAATAGCATCTCTTTCTTTCTGAGGCATGTCACCGTGCATTGATGAGACAGTGAAATTATTGTTACGCATTTTTTCAGTTAGCCAGTCCACCTGTACCAAGAGGATATAAATATTAAAATGACAAATTATCATAACAAGCAAATAGACAAATGGTATAGAATCTAACAATCAACTATTTACAGTGTTCAAAGTGAGATGAAATGGATGGCCTATCCTAGTATTTGACAGTTTTCATTTACCTTTCGCTTAGTGTTACAGAATATAACAGCTTGAGTGATAGTGAGGGTATCATAAAGATCACACAGGGTATCAAACTTCCATTCCTCCCTTTCGACTGCAACAAAAAATTGCTTGATGCCCTGTCATTGAAGTGTGGGGCAATTCAATCATTATCCATTTAAAAATCAAACATCAATAAGAATATGAAAACAATTGCTTACCTCCAATGTCAATTCATCACGTTTTACAAGGATCCTTACAGGATCTGTCATGAATTTGTTTGTCATTTCCAGTATTTCATGAGGAAGGGTAGCAGAAATCAAGACAACCTACACCAAAAAAACTAAATGATTAAGAGACTACAATATACTACATAATATTAATCAGGCTACAAAAGAATTCAAACAACATTGATCCACAAGAATGCAGTTTAAGCAATTTGAACATACATCACTTCAGTAACCTAGACTAGGGACCCTGAAGATGCATCCAATTAAGTTGCAAAATAAACATCAAAAGTAAATTTTTGAGCGACCAGGCCAAAATGCTTTTACAGCCCGTCACCGCTACTTAATTTAAGAATGGTGCAACAATCAAGTGATTAGTGATGGCCTTACTGTGATGAAAAGCAGGAGTTCCATTAATTGGTTATTGACTTAAATTTTCACGTCATTGATTTGAGGTACATAGTTTTTAATGAATTGAAAATTTGAACCAACTAATTCATAAACAAACAAAACTTCAAAAGGCCTTGAAGAGAATTCAGAACACCCCCATTCTCCATTTATCCTTGAATTCTGGCCGCATGTTCTTTCCCCATCAATGTCACACCTTCAGATGATGTCAAAATACAATTTTCTAACATGCATTGATGCACACCACACCTCCTCCCATAACCCTATTTGTTAGCGAAGTTCTGAATTGGAATTTAGGTTTTTGCTTCAATATCTTTTTTTTATTTTGCTTTTTCATTCCTTAAGCTATAGTCAAGCAACTCAGGGTTTGTTTGAGTGAAAATATGCATTTATTCAATATGCTTTTATCATATAAGAACTTCAAATAAATTTTAAAATTAACCCAATCGATATTTGTTATTCTTCTTGGGTAGACTTGTACCAAATTTACTTCTAATATGTACCTCAACAATTAAGATTTCAAATTGCAGGCTTACGAAATTCAAATACATTAATTGAGGGAAATAGAACCTGAAGGTCCGGTGGGAGATATCTATACACATCATAAATTTGATCTTTAAATCCTCTGCTCAACATCTCATCAGATTCGTCCTGTTACCAAAAAGAAAAAATATGACATTCCTTGACACATGACAACAAAAAGAAATAAGAGAGCCACTATTCACAAGTGGACGCAATGAACTCACCAGAACTAGCATCTTGATAGCTCTTGTGCGCAATGTTCTCCTTTTGATCATGTCACAGACTCGGCCAGGAGTTCCAGAGACAACATGTACTCCATACTCAAGTTTCCTAATATCTTCACCCACACTTTTACCTCCAATGCAAGCATGTGCTTGTATGTTAATGAAATCCCCAATGGCCAATATAACCTTTTCAGTCTGTGAGGCCAGTTCCCTTGTTGGTGACAGTATCAAGGCCTGAACTCTGTCAAAAGTTACAAAACAAACACCCTAAATAAATACCTGACAACAAATCTAAAAGATAATGCACTCAGACAGAAGTAGAACACAAACGCACACGCATCCCTTTAACAATACATTGGGTGGTGGAGGCTTCCGGAGGAAAATGACACAAACCATAGAGTTTTCATTTTCAAATTTACGGAGCTACTCAATGGTCTCAAAATGAATAATCCAAATATTTCCGGACAATCTATCAATTTCATTCTTTCCTTTAAGGAAACATATCTTAATTTTAAAAATATTCCCTGACACTTAAAAATTAATCCTCTATCAGCCCTAACAAAAATCTGTTGTCTGTGCTTTAAAAATAGGCCCCACAACCACAGTTTCAATCACAACGTCAAGGTTTTTTTCGTGTGTGACTGCAATTGCAGCTTCATTGGTCGTATTTTCTGCAATTTCAAGGAACGCAATGAAACCACAATATAAAATCTCGAGCCCTATCTCAACACCACACTAAAATCCATTGTTTGGCCACAATTTCCAGGAATATCAAAACCACGACGAAACCGCGACTTAACACCTCTCCACACACCGTACCACTAAAAAACCCTAACCTAGAAATCCAAACTCTGGTCACAAAGAGAGCGCAAATAAAACAGAAGAAACGAAGGGTACTTACTCTCTGACGGAGGTATCGACGACCTGGCAAACGGTGAGGGCAATCATGGAGGTTTTGCCGGTTCCAGATTGGGCCTGAGCGATGACATCACGGCCCTGGATGATTGGCGTGACAGCCCGTTGCTGAATGGCTGAGGGTTTCTCGAAGCCGTACTGGTAGATTCCGCGAAGCAGATCGTCCTTTATCCCCATCTCTTCGAAGCTCGCGATGGCCTTCACACCCTCCGTGGTCTCGAAGTCCATCTCCTCGGCCGCGTTCACCGCCCTGCGGCGGTTCGCCGGCACCACCGACGTTGTCGCCATAGCCCGCCGCGCTAGGATTTGGTTTTGGTTGGAGAGAGTGGAAGGAGAAACGAATTTGGGAGATAGTTGACAGTGGTGCGAGCCCTAAAACAGGCTGCACCTTAAATTATTATATGATTTATCAATGCGTGTGGCCCATAATAGAGCATAACATAACATAACATAACATTTCGCTTTTTCCGAAGGTTCAATTAAAATTAAAATTTTGGGTTTAATCAACATGTACTGAAATAAATATTTGATAATTAAAATGATAATAAGATAAAATATGATACATAAAATAAAGATTAATTTTTAATCTTATCTAATTTCAGTGTGTATTAAATAATAAAATAATTATTTTTATTTGTAAAGATACTTATATATATATATATATATATATATATATATATATATTAAACTGTAACTATTATTCAAATATTTGTGTTGAAGATATTTAAATAATGATAATTTAAATTTACATATTAATATATTTTTTAATTAAATTAAATATTTACATAAAATTTTAGATGTTAAATAAATAATTTAGAATCTTGAATATTATAATATATATAGTTAATATATCATAAGTATAATAATAATAATTTTATCATTATTATATATAATATCTTATTAGTATATCAAACTGGCCTAATTACGATGTTAAGAGATAAAAGTTATTTTATAATATTTACAATGATTATTATAAACTTCAGTAAATTTTGTACACGTGAATTTGAAATTGAATGACATTATAAAAAACATTTATACTAAATATATAATTTAATAAATAATAACTGTTAAAAGTGTTAAACATATTTTCTCATAAATAGTTTATTAACATCTTTTACAATTTTCTTCTGTTACACCATTTTTTATTTTTTTTAGAATTTTGTAAATTTGGGTTTACTATAAGTTATCTTTAAAATTTAAGAACCCGAATAATAATTTCTTGTACCATTGCAAGTGGTAACCTTTTCATTCCTTGTTTACAATTTTATTAATATTTCTTTTGTTGATTAAAAACAAAAAGGTATATAAGAAATTTATTAGCTATAAATACAATATTTTTTTAAGCATATACATATTTATATTTAAATGAGTAAATATATTGACCTAATTTTCCAAAAAAATTAACCTATTAAACTTAATAGTTTTTTCATAACCTATTTAATTAAATATCTTTTCAATGTCTAAACTTAACATTTCTATTAAATAAACCAAACTTTAAATATGTTTAGCCATATCTATATGATTAAGAAAATAAAAATAATTTTTTTTCTGTATTATTTTCAATATGTGTAAGTCAATACCTCAATTTGAAAAAGAAAAAAAAAACCAACAAAATCAATCTTTCAAGAGTGTAAGATCACGCAATAGAACCCATTTCAGTCACATCCCACCCGAGTTCTCTTTCAGTCCACGTTTCATCTCAAACCCAAACACGTCTCTTGCACCTCCGTAGCTTCTTCTACTATCTCACTTCTCTTCTTCTCTCTTCCTTCTCCACACTCTCAGATTCTTTGTTTTCAGGTTTGTGGGTTCTTCTTCTGCCCTCCTCTTTCCATGGGTCTTCATCTTTCGTAGTGCTGGGCTATTCTTTGTTTACACCCTTGATTACCAATTTTATTTACTTGTTTGTTATGTCATTAATTTGATTGTTGCAGTTGTTAATGGTGGACTCTTTGAGCCAAACTTTTTATATTTTATGTTGTATCTGTCCAGCTTTTGAATGGTTTGATAGAATAATAAGTACCACAGGCTAGTACATTTAAGTCACTACATTATATACCATTAAATTAAGTTTAATAAGTGTATATTTGATCCACAAGGAAAGGAGAAAAGCAGAGAGAAATTATAGTTTCGTAGATAACTATCAACATGTTGTATATTCTACTCTTATGAATACATTCATATCGAATGTTGTATCCTAAGATCTGAAGTTGGCTTTTTGCATGATCCGTCCCCTTGTTCATTCTGCTGAACTTTTGTTCTTCAGAGGCTTGTTTCTTTTCATATCTAGAATTTCTATGGGCACACTTTATGTAGATGAAAATTTTATTTTGTTTTTTTCTTTTTAAGTGTGAGTAGACTGGATTTACTGTGGTGATGTTTGAAAAAAAAAATTACTTGACAATCACCAATGGCATTTATACACTATACTTTTTTCCTACAAATCACAGATGATATCAGTGTTCAATAAACCATATTTTAGGTACTCTTCTTGACACGGATGGCAGCATCACTGGCATGCCTTGGTGGGAGTGGTTTATATACACAGAGTAATAAAATAATTCTTGGCAAGGACGTCAATGGAAGATATCTCTTCTCATCTCATAGGCTTTCATCATTGAGTAAGGAATCGAAGACAATATCTGTCAAGGCATCATTGGATCAAAGAAAACATGAAGGGAGAAGAGGATTTTTGAAATTGTTGAATGTCGGAGTTGGCTTACCTGTTCTATTCGGAAGTGGGAAAGCTTATGCTGATGAACAAGGAGCATCCTCCTCCAGGATGTCTTATTCTAGGTTTCTTGAGTATTTGGACAAGGATAAAGTTAAAAAAGTGGATCTGTATGAGAATGGAACCTCGGCTGTTGTGGAGACTGTTTCTCCTGAATTGGGTGATAGGGTGCAGCGAGTGCGTGTTCAACTTCCTGGACTTAGCCAAGAGCTCCTTCAGAAATTCAGGGAAAAGAACATTGATTTTGCAGCTCATAATGGCCAAGAAGAGACAGGTTCTCCATTAGCTAACCTGATTGGGAACCTGGCTTTCCCTCTAATTTTGATTGGAGGATTGTTCTTTCTCTCAAGACGAACATCAGGAGGAATGGGAGGTCCTGGTGGGTCAGGCTTTCCTCTTGCTTTTGGTCAATCTAAAGCCAAGTTTCAAATGGAGCCTAATACTGGAGTGACATTTGACGATGTTGCTGGAGTGGATGAAGCCAAGCAGGATTTTATGGAGGTGGTGGAATTTCTGAAAAAGCCTGAGAGATTCACTGCTGTTGGGGCTCGCATACCAAAAGGTGTTCTTCTTGTTGGTCCTCCTGGAACTGGGAAGACACTTTTAGCAAAGGCAATTGCAGGTGAAGCAGGTGTCCCATTTTTCTCAATCTCAGGTTCCGAGTTTGTAGAGATGTTTGTTGGTGTTGGTGCTTCTCGAGTCCGTGATTTATTCAAGAAGGCCAAAGAGAATGCTCCATGCATTGTTTTTGTTGATGAAATTGATGCTGTTGGAAGGCAAAGGGGAACTGGAATTGGTGGGGGGAATGATGAAAGAGAACAGACCCTCAACCAACTTTTGACCGAAATGGATGGATTTGAGGGTAATACCGGTATCATTGTCATTGCAGCTACTAACAGGGCTGACATTCTTGATTCTGCATTGTTAAGGCCTGGACGATTTGATAGACAGGTAAGATTGTATTAGCTATTGTCTAAATACACATTTGTTAATGAGCCAATCACTGAGCGTAGTGCTTTTGCAGGTGACAGTTGATGTTCCAGATATACGAGGAAGGACAGAAATTTTAAAGGTTCATGGTAGCAATAAAAAGTTTGAAGCTGATGTTTCACTTGAGGTAATTTCTATGAGAACACCTGGTTTTAGTGGAGCAGATCTGGCAAACCTGCTGAATGAAGCTGCTATATTAGCTGGTCGGCGTGGAAAGGCTGCAATTTCATCCAAAGAGATTGACGATTCTATAGATAGGATTGTGGCTGGAATGGAAGGAACAGTGATGACGGATGGGAAGAGCAAAAGCTTAGTGGCCTACCATGAAGTTGGGCATGCTATTTGTGGGTAAGCCAGAAATCAGGATATAGTTGTCTTTTGAGTAAATGGGTGTGATGGCAATGAAAGCAACATGCTATGCGTATATAAAGTGGTGCTACATTTGTATGTAAGTTCTTATTCAAAAGCTGTTACAGCAAACAATAAAATTGTTCTAAAATATGTATCTGTACTTGCAGAACTTTGACTCCTGGTCATGATCCTGTACAAAAGGTAACCTTGGTTCCTCGTGGGCAAGCTCGGGGTCTTACATGGTTTATTCCTGCTGATGACCCAACTCTGATCTCCAAGCAACAACTCTTTGCTAGAATTGTTGGTGGACTAGGTGGCAGAGCAGCAGAGGAAATTATTTTTGGTGAGCCGGAGGTTACAACTGGAGCAGCTGGTGATTTGCAGCAAATAACCAGTTTGGCCAAACAGGTTGGTGTTTATGACTTTATTTTCTATTGTGATGTATCACTTTTTTCTTGTTCTCTTATTTTCCATTTTATTTTGACGGGGACGGATGCTAGTAGTATTTTAGACTCTATAGAATTGGCAATGTAATCTGAATTAAGTTATACTTTATCAGTACATTCAGCATTTTATTTTTTTAGCTCTAATTAATTGGTGAGAGAAGAAATGAAGTCATAACGAAAGATTTCTATAATGCTTAAAACTAAATTTTTTGTCTTTAACTAAAAGAATGGTATATTGTCATTTTGAAGGATGAATTTTTAATACTTATTGTCAAAATAATCTTTCTTATGTTCCTCTCCTGTTCTTGAGAGTACAACTTTATCTGACCTGTTCGTCTAATAAAGTAATGATACACTTGCAGATGGTAACCACATTTGGAATGTCTGATATTGGTCCTTGGTCACTCATGGACTCATCAGCTCAAAGTGCAGATGTGATCATGAGAATGATGGCAAGAAACTCAATGTCAGAAAAGCTTGCTGAAGACATTGATGCTGCTGTCAAGAGAATTTCAGATGAAGCTTATGAAATTGCATTGACCCAAATCAGGAACAACCGGGAAGCGATTGATAAGATTGTGGAAGTTCTACTGGAGAAGGAGACTATGAGTGGAGATGAATTCCGAGCTATCCTGTCCGAATTTGTTGAAATTCCTGCTGAAAATCGGGTCCCTCCTTCAATTCCCTCACCAGTTACTGCTTGAATAGTCTATATTCCACTGCAATGTAGTGTAGCTTTCCACATACTGAATTTTCTGAAATTGTGAAAT